ATATATTTAATTTAATAGACTATAGCTATGCAGCGCATGACACACACGCGCCAGCCGGACAATATATTTGACGAATTACCGTAAGAACTTAAAACTTAACAGTAATACCGACCAATCACTAAGTAAACCAGCTTGTATTATTATTGTTATTATTATTAATATAAGTTTAAATTATTATTATTATTATTAATAAATAGTTTTATTACAAATAGCAGCTCAGCGCCCGCCACCCGTCGCTGGTGTAGGCGTCGGGACGCGGCAAGGTAATGATGAAGATAAACAATTGATTATTCCATTAATTGTTCCATTGATTAGTCTTTTAAGTAGTTCAATCGACTAGTCCATTAATTAGTCCATCAAGTATTCAATTCAATTTTTGGATAATTAGTTAAATAATTGGCCCATTAATTGATCCATCAACTGGTCAATTAATTAATCCCTTATTTTTCATTGATCAATCCACTAATTTCTCTAGTGATTAATTAATCAATTAATTGGTTTACTTATTTTTTAGTTCTTTAAGTTTCACATTGATTAAATTATTAATAACTCCAAAAGTCAAGTCATTAATAGCATGCTAATAGCACTTTATTTAGTCCATTAATTACTCAACTTATTTGGTCGGCAAGCTCACGTCTATGCTCATTTAATCATGAGTTAGCGTGACTTAAATGACAGCAGAACTTATGCTAACATGCTAACAACAGCAGCAGCAGAACCGATGATAACAGCAGCAGCAGAAGATGATAACAGCAGCAGCATAACAGATGATAACAGCAGCAGCAATACAGTAGCTGCAGCATCAAGACCGCTACCTTAAGACGTCACCGAGTCATCAACACTCAGTCTCTGTCCCGAATATCAAGCCTAAGTCTCAAGACCACCACTATCGAGAATATTTCTCAAGACAGCCACCATCAAGTCCAAGTCCCAAAACCATCACCACCAAGTCCAAGTCTCAAGACCACCACTATCACGACCAAGTCCCTAAACCACCACCATCAAGACCAAGTCTCAAGACCACCACTATCACGACCAAGTCCCAAAACCACCACTATCAAGTCCAAGTCTCAAGACCACCACTATCAAGACCAAGTCCCAAAACCACCACCACCAAGCCCAAGTCTCAAGACCACCACTATCAAGACCATGTCTCAAAACCACAACCATCAAGTCCAAGTCTCAAGACCACTACCACCAAGTCCAAGTCTCAAGTCTCCCAGGACAACCCGCCAGAACGGAGGCGGGTTTTTAGCGTCCAGTCTCGGGCGCCCAGACGGTCGTGTCAGCTGGCAAATAGTCTCTTAAAGTTACCGCAAAAAACCTCAACTCCAACGGCCAAAAAAAATTTGCCTCAATGATTTAAAAAGCAAAGACGCGCTGTGATTGGCCGCACGTTCGTGGGGCAGCCAATAGGAGCGCGAGGTTGAGCACCACATGACACGCTCAGCCAATAGCAAGCCAGGGATGCCAAAACGTGCAATGCGGAAGGGAATTTGAAGCACTTGGATGCTTCTGAACTGGTTTCCTATATATCTCGTTAGGGTGTTTAGCTAGAATTATTTCTAGGGATGCTTTTTGGGAGCGTGGCTCTAGGATTGTTTATTGCGCGCTACTATAATTGCTGCACGTATTATTGAAGCTTCTCGTATTAATTTCAAAGACTTTGGACTAGCTGAGGATTAGTGAAGCGTATCTGCGAGTCATGCTCTTAAAGTATTTTTTTAGCATTGTACGGTGGTAATTATTTTATATCAATACACTTTTCCTATGGGAATGATAGTCTGAATGTGAATAATATTGTACATGTGAATAATAACATAATTAACGCTTAAGTGTACCTTAGGTTTTTTGTCGGCATTTGCTGCATTGTTACATGGCATGATTTTTATTGATGATTCATTTACGCGCAATCACATCCCGTCACGCAATCACGTCACGCAATCACGCAACGCAATCACGCAACGCAATCACGTCACGCAATCACGTCACGCAATCACGTCACGCAATCACGCAACGCAATCACGCAACGCAATCACGTCACGCAATCACGTCACGCAATCACGTCACGCAATCACGCAA